GGAGGGGGGGAGGGAGAGAGAGAGAGAGAGAGAGAGAGAAACGTCTATGTGAGAGAGACACATCAATCAGTTGCCTCCCAAACACACCCCAACCAGGGCCAGGGACAGAGCCTATAATAGAGGTACGTGCCCTTGGCCGGGATCAAACCCAGGACCCTTCAGTCCAAGGGCCGACATTGTAACTACTGAGCCAAACTGGCCAGGGCTGAGGAAATGATCTTGAAGATGCAGTCTAAAATATGAACTGAGGGAATTAGAAGGAGAAGTATATTAGTCAAAGAGAAGAGTGTGTGCAAAGAAAGGTCTGGAAGCAGAAAAAAGCATGGGGCCTTACAAAAACTGAGAGAAAGCTGAGAGCAAGGCAGAAAGCAAAATAGGACAAAGTAAAGGTTCTCAAAGAGCCAAACCTGGACAAACGGCATCAGCACCTTCGAAGCATGTTAGAAATGCAACTTCTCAGGCCTCACACCAGGCCTACTGAATCAGAAAATGGGACAGGTGGGGGTGGGGGGGCACAACACGACGGACAGACAGCCTAGGTAATATTAAGGATTTGGGAGTTTATTCTGTGATTAATGAAAAACAATTGAGAGGTTTTAAATAGAAGGATAACGTAATCAGAATAATAGCAGCTAAATGGTTTGGCATTAACAGCTGAGCAAAAACTCCTCAAAATCTAATTTTTGTAATAATCAGGATCAGAAACCACAGTGAGTCTTTAAATCAAGGGTCACAATCATGTTGCTTTTAGGGCTAAATGGTAAGGTAAGTGAGTGAAGAGGGTGATGTGGAAACTGGAGGGGCTGTGCTCCAGTCAGCCTAGCATCCTTTCTGGAGCCAAACACAAATAGGTGTTTGAGTAAAGGAATACACTGGCAAACCTTCAGGATCCCTTAACACAGCTGCTGAAGAAAGGAGAGGGCCCTTTGTAGGGAATCCCGACGTTTCCTTTCTTCAGATGTGACTGTTTTCCAGCCTGGCTAGGCAAATCTGGCATTAAGCCAAAATTTCAAAGAAAAACCACCTTTTGTTTCTTGTTCCAAGGAGCAGAGGATAAAAAGCAATTCAACAAACAAGATGCCAATAACCCAGCCAGCTCACCTCCCACATGGAGCTTCCACCACAGAGCAAATGACCCATTTGGATGAATCTACAGTAGAAGCCTGAATTTGGGAATGCTCCTTGTGATTGGCTGCCTAGGAACAACCCTCCCTTGGGCCCAAGAAGCTGCCAGCACCTTCACTTCAGTAGGTCAAATCAGAAGCTCTTGGTCTCAATAGTACAAGGCTCTCAGCTCTTAGAAGACATACAATGTGTTTGTATGCTAGGCTTCTCAAGACTAAAAAAAATACCAACTACATACAGTTCTGTTAAAAGGTCACCAGGAGCAAGCAGAAACTATTTGATGGGGTGGGGAGCAACTTACAGCACTGGCATAAATCCACCAATCTGGGTTCTTGCTATAATAGCACCTCACCCAGATTTAGCCACAGACCATAGATGATGAGGGAGTGGTTACACATGTCTGACTAAATCAGGTTGAAAAGCACATTCCGGTGAGTTCAGAATGCAGAAAAGAATTGCAACAGACATTAATGAAAAAAGAACAAAAAGCGATTGCCTTATTCAGACACTTCCTCCCCCAAATCCTCAGCTGAGAAAGTCTCAGGAGTCCAATCTGACAGTGGCTCTTCATCTTGGCCTGAGAAGCCAAAATGACAGGTGCTGAGGGATTCCACAGACCCTGTCCTACTAAGGTTATGGCTCAGAGATCTTCAGGAGAAACCAGGAGAAGCTTCATGATAAAGACTCCTGCCTCCTACCTATTACTCAAAGATCCAGAAACCATTTTTTCCCCAAGTCAGACTAACTGAAGAGAGACGCTTCAATTCCAAGTAGAATCAAAATTTCAAAAGACTCTTGCCTGGGCATGTGTAGCTGAATTTCCATTCCTAACTGAAACAGAATTGTAATGGGAGAGTTTGCTACTTACTGTCTTACTAGATTTTGGAGAAGCCCATTTCACTTCTGAGATTAGTTTTCAGAACCTGAGCGACTTGCCCACATGTAGTAGCAGACCTAAGACTAAGGGTAAGTGTTCCCAGAACCAGCCAACTATAAAATGATTGGTGCAAATTGCCCTTCAGGTATCAAGTACAGTTCCCCTATGCCCTCTTGGATGATGACGTTATGGATGCCTACAACGTACCAGGCACTCTCTCTATATTAACCTCTTTAATGTTAATAACCACCCCCATGAAGTGGATACTTTTAGATTTACTTTACAGATGTGGAAACTAAGGCATGGACAGGTGAAGTGACTTCCTCAAGGCTACAGAGTTAATGGCAGAATCAAAATGCAGACCCAGGAACTCTGGCTCTGGAGCCCAAGCTCTTAATCAGCAGACTATACTGCCTTTCTCAGGATACAGTCAATCCATTCCATAAACATTCATCAAGCATCTGGGCACCAAGCATTCTACTAGACAAAAGCACCTATTCACACAAAACACCAACCAGAAAATCTGCTTTTATTCTGTCCATGCTCAATGGGACAATTCATGCTGAATGCACCCCAAATCCTACCTCTTAGCTGAACACTAAGACAAAAACCTAAAATTAAGACCTCAACAGTAAAGTAAAAAAAACAACCCAAAAATCAAAAACAAGAACAAAAACAAAAAACCCACTGAGACTTCTCTGAACTTTGATGGAGAACAGACAGTGCTTCCAACATCTCCATCTTCTCTGTCTCTCGTATGGTCCATGTCTAAGAGACCAACATTTAAAAATAAAAACAAAAACTCTAGCCAGGCCGGGTGTGGCTCAGAGGTTGAGCATCAACCTAGGATCCAGGCGATCAGGATTCGATTCCGGGTCAGGGAACATGCCCGGGTTGCAGACTCGGTCCCCAGTTGGGGGCGTGTGGGAGGCAGCTGATCAATGACTCATCATTGATGTTTCTATCTCTCTCTCCCTCTCCTTTCCTCTCTCTGAAACCATTAAAGATATATTAAAAAAAAAACACAAAAAACTCTAAACTGAGATCACAAACCTATTCCCTGCGCAGATAGCCAAAAACCAGACACTCTTCGAGGTCAGTCCATAAATTCCTATTCAGAATTTTGAACCTGAATTCAAGGAATAGCTCATTGTTCATTTAGCTTAATACCACCAAAACATCCAACCAGAAACCAGTTTTCTTTGCTTTCCTCTCTGCCTCCCATCATCTTTTAGAGGGAGGCAGGCATACTCACAGGCAAGCTTGAGGGTCTTGACTGAAGACTCAGGTTCATATCTTCTTGCCCTCCCTTACTGGAGGTCATTGAGGGGGTTGAGGATGCCTGAGACCCAAATGAATCTTGCGATAATTCCTAAAACAAGAAAAACAAAAGCTATGAAGGCCTGGCACTGACAACCAGGTAAGCTTGCTTCATGATGAAAGGGCTATGGGACTTTCATACAGGGGAAGCTGGGTGGGAGAGACTACCCACCTGCACACAATGTCATCTGAAGGCAGAAAAATACAAGGTCTGGCTCTCCAGAAAAGAATGTCAACAGTGGATGTAAGACTCTTTCTGATGGCACTGTTCACCATTTATCGCCACCCACAGGGAGAGCTGTTCCTTGGGGTTAAATTCTAAAGTCTGGCTAACTAAGTTATATCTATGAAGGAATGAGACCAATTAATTTAAAAACAACAAAAAACCCACGCATTAAAATGACTACCACTTCCTTCAAAGTCATTGCCTTGGAAGGAGATAGTTTTCCAACAATGCCACCAATGCACAAAATCTTTAGAGGATCTATCATCAGTCATTTCTCCTCTTTCTGCTCTTTAAAAAATAAAGCCCAAGGTAGGCTTCATCACCTACCTTGTTCACAGACATGGCTACAAATAAATTATAGCTATTTCCAAAAATCAAATCCATCCTCAAAAAAATAAAAGGATTTGCCACCACTGAGAATATTCTACAGAGTGTGCTATAAGCTCTGATGGCAATTTCATATGAAGGGGCCCAAATATTTTGAGCAATAGCAGAACGAAATAGCAGTTAGAATGAATGTACAGTATAGCCTCCCAAATTTATTGTTTTTAAAAAAGACCAAATTTAGTTGGATGCCCAAGTTCTAAATGCTAGTTTAAAAAAAAAAAATCTGTCCCATTATCTTCAATTTATCTGTCTATGCAATTTTCCATTGCCTTATTTCTTCATCAGTAAGGAGGGGTAAAGGTTTTAATGCTGTTAAGGTTATGCCTTTATTAGTTCAATCAATCCAGTTAGCATGTTTATCAAGTTTAATTGGTTTTTAGGTGCACTTTAGAGAAGTAATCTGTATGGCAAAGTTCTATGACACCAACCCCCAAGCTGTCTGTGGTTACATGTGAAAAAAAGAAAGGGGCAGGGGCATCTTACCTGTGGTGGAGGGAAGCGCTGCTGGGAATAGGCAGTTTGCTGTGACTGCTGAGACTGGGACTGAGGGTACGCAGCCTGCTGGGAGATGGTCGAGGATGCTGGCTGCTGAGGTTGCTGCTGCTGGTAGGGAGACTGTGCCTGCGGCTGTGAGTAGGGGGGCTGGCTCTGGGGGTGCTGCTGGGTTGTTGACTGTTGGGAGGGGTATGGAGTTGGAGACTGCTGATGCGGAGGCTGGGATGGCTGCTGGGAATATGGAGGCTGGGTGGACTGGAGCTGTGGTGGCTGAGACTGCGGCTGCTGTTGATATGAAGGTTGGGCATGAGGAGTCTGGGATGGTGGTTGCTGGGAGTAGGGTGGCTGCTGTTGCTGGGGGTGAGGACTTTGCTGGTTGTAATATGGAGTCTGGCCCTGCTGACCATATCCGCTGGGGCCTTGTTGCCCATAAGGAGGAATCTGTAGGAAATGAAAGGATGCATTTTTAGCACTGACTCTTCTGGATGAAGAAAGATGTGATAGCCCTGGCCAGTGTGGCTCAGTCCGTTGGAGTGTCATCCTGTACACAGAAAGGTTGCGGGTCTGATTCCCAGTCAGGGCACACACACAGGTTGTGAGTTCAATCCCTGGTCAGGGCACATGCAGGCGGCAACTGATCAATGTTTCACTCTCACATCGATGGTTCTCTCTCTCTCTCTCTCTCCCCCCCTTCTCTCTTCCCCTCTTTTGCTCTAAAATCAATAAAAGCATGCCCTCAGGAGAGGATTAAGAACAAAAGAAAAACAAAGATAAGATATTCTGTCAGAAGCTATGCCCTACAAATGGGTATAGAAAGCAGGCAAGGCAAGCCTCACACTTAGAAGGCCCACAGTATTTCCACCATCCTTGTCTAAAATGAGTCAGGAAGGATGGCCAAGGCTGGATTACCAATTGGTTTATTTACAAGTGGACTGCATTCATCCACAGAAAATTTACACTATTTAATGTTTGGGCAATTTATAAGAGTTTAAGAGTAGCTGTTTTCACCATGGGCCTACTCTTTTTATCATGGCCTGGACTGTTTTTATAAGCCCTAGGAACCTGTATCCTAGCCACAGTGAATGGTCAATAGCAGCCTGGCTCAGCTGACTGAAAACCTAAGGTTTAGTAATCCAGCCAGTGTACAAATCACTAAGCTACTCTGGTTCTCTTTTCCATTTAATCTTCATTCAAAAAAATATTTGAGAACCTACCTGCTTACTTTTACCAGGCACTATTCTAGACACCGGGAATACATTTGGTAAGTAGGCAAAACAAACAAATAAAAACACCAACAATAATATCTACCCTGTCTTGCCTCCATTTTCTCACTGAAACAAACGTGATAGTACCCCATTTTTTAATATTTAAAGGCATACTTTGCTTTGAAGTTTTAGGAGTAAAGTTAGGTTTTATATTCTGTCCCTCACCATTTTCAGTACGAATATCACTCAAATATAAATGGTAGAAAAAGTAGTTAAGACAAAATGACTATAAAAAGATAATGGTGCAGATGACCAGACAAAAGGAGAAAAATCTTAACATTTTAACAGCACTTAGCATTCTAACTGTTCAATCTTCCCTTTTTCTTTTACTCCCATCCCTCCTAAACATTCATTGTGAACCAGAAAGGACACATGGTATGAGTGGTTTCTCTTGGTAGCACTGAATAGGTGCTCAGCCACTACCTTTCTTTCTTCCCAACTCATTCAGAGATCACCACTCTGTGGGTACAAGCAGGCCAAAGAATAAGACAGATATGTACAGCCTGTGGCCAGGGAGGGAGCAGTTTTCCCTCCAGTACACATGGGATGGTGCCTATAACCTTGGCCTTGTAAGTAGCACACTTTAACTAAAAGCAAGTTGGCCTATGCTCCTTTCAAGGGGTTTAGAAGCCAAAGATATGTTTGTTTTCCCCTAATAGTACAGGGATCTTTTTTTTTTTTTTTTTTTTTTAACACTTATCATGCCATGAATTCATAGGGAATGCACTTTAGCAGTTCAGGCTATTTTCCATTGGTTCTCACAAAGTGTTTTTCTCTGGGTGGAGCAGGCTGAAGCTTCAGTTGAAGCCAGGTATCTTTCTCTTTGGCTTCCTTTTTCTGATCATGTTCCTTCACATGTTTTAGGAAGCTATCTAAGCTCTTAAAGAGTGTTTAATATGCTCAATATAGACATTAATTCTCTTGGCAAGAATCTTGCCCTTAACTTGTTTACAACAATGTCCACTGCATGCTGGGTGACACTGTAGACTCCTCCAGTTTTGCTATGGTAACATTTGTGGGGGATTCCTTTTTGAAGTGTCCATTCTCTTGATGTCTACATCACCTTTCTTGTAGATTTGTATGTATGTGGCCAAATAAACAACTATGTTTTCTAAAATGCCTAGAGAACATACATCTGGTGCATCTCCTCTTTCCCTTTGTGTTAGTCATTATGACGAATTACTGGAAGATGGAGGTTCCAGCCAAAAGGCCAAAGACATGTTCTGATTCTATAGCTCAAGACCAGATCCTGGACAGATTAAGGGTCAAAGTAATAGGAGTCACCATCTACCTGCTGTGCATAAGAGAGGCCGCCCATGGTACTCTGCGCCCGGCCCTGCATGGTCATCGGGTACCGCTGCGGGGTCTGGGATCCATATGGCTGCCCTGGGTACCCATGTCCTTGCTGTGGTCCTGATGGAGGTCCCTGTTGTTGCGAGTATGGGTTAGTTCCACCATATGGCTGAGGTCTCATCTTGCCCATCTGATCCATTGGACTGGATGGCTACAAAATAAAGAGCATTTCATTAACCTGAAGCTTTCACGGCCTCTGGCCAATATGAACCCAAACATACAGGTCTATACACCACATAGAAAAACAATTACTATGAAAAAGTAATGGTACAGATCCAGTAACCCTTGGGCAAGTCATTTAATCTTCCTCAGAACCTTGATTTATCATATGTAAAATGAAAATACCACTGGTCCGTGACAGCATCTTGTAAGCTATATACTACTGCCTTGTAAGTGTGGTATTACTTAAGATCCAAAGGACAGGCCAGGTGTGGAGCAATGAATATACGTACTCTAGGGTGTAGAAAATCAGAACAAAGGCCCTGCAATTGGGAGAAGACAGTGCTACTATACTTTGCGCCATGATCTTGTTCAACGCCAAAACTGATGCTTCAACACTATGGTTGGAAATTCAAATACACAAGCACCTAGATGTTTCTATTCTTTAAACAGTGAAATCTTTTTTTCTTGCATATCTATAGCCTGTTTGCACTATGGCGCAAGCACTTAAATTTATGTTTTCTTCCAAATGGGTAACATGGCTAAGTTACTGTTGTTAAGGGAACTGTGACTTTTAACTTATAGCCTTGTGCATCTTACCTGAAAAGTTCATCTCCTTTAATATTCAAGAGTTTGAGGGTGTAAGGAGGATAGAACTTTTGTCTCTTCAAAGAACAAGATATAGAAGTACAGCACAGCATTAATAATGAAAGCTCAAAGTTCAAGTCACAGGTATTTGGCTACAAACATAGTTTTCTCTCAGTCCTTTGTGGGGCAACAGGTTCAATGAGCTCATTCGCTTGTTGACATAACTTTATCCTATTGGAACTATATAGGACAGAGCCCCAGAACACTTTCCCCTGCCAGAAATGCCTACCTATATCTACTGGTGTGGAGGGGAGGGGGTAAGGTTCCCTAAGCATCTTACAAATAGATACACCCAGGTTGGAGAGTAAGCCTAGGCCTGACATAAAACATGAAAGTTAAATCTTAAATTTGGGGTGGGCAATAGATATTAATACTTTGGGCCTGAATATCAACTCTGAAGGAGTTCAGTGGTTCACAAGCTTTAGCATGCATCAAAATCACCTGGACGGCTTGTTAAACTACATACTGCTGGAATCCACCCTCAGAGTCTCTAATTCTGTAGGTTCATGTCAGGCCTAGGATACGCATTTGTTAACAGTTATCAAGAGATGTTGATGCTGCTAGCCAAGGGACGATACTTGAAGAACCACAGGACTAGCCCTGACAGATTTGGCTCAGGTGGTTAGGCATCATCCCGTGCACAGAAAGGTTACCAGTTTGATTCCCAGTTAGGGCACATGCCCAGCTCATGGGCTCAATCCCCAGCAGGAGGCATGCAGGAGGCAGCCAATGGATGTTTCACTCTCACACTGATGTTTCTCTCTCTCTCCTTGCCTCTAATAATCAATAAAAATATTTTAAAAAAAACAAAACCACAGGTCTATATTATATGTAGTTTTGGTATTCTGTAGTTAATAAATTATAATTTAAGGTAAGATGTTAAAAATAACAAAAACCCCTCCAAAATAAGGGGGCAGCCCTGGCTGGTGTGAGAGGGGTGTTGAATGTGCAGCCCATGGGCTGTATACTGCCCACAAAATCATTTGGTCTGGACCTGCCAAGGCAATCACAGGTGGGATTCGAAATTCAATAAATCTAGGAGCTTTTTTCATAGCTAATTTTTAAGTCGATAATTTTGTATGGCCGTGAATGATGTTACAAATATCCAAACGGCCCTTGGCAAATAAATGGTTCCCACCCCTGGGTTAGGGCGTTGGCCCCCACACCAAAGGATTGCAGGTTCCATCCCTGGTCCCTATCTGGACATGTTTGGGAGGCAACTAATCAATGTCTCTCTCTCACATCGATGTTTCCATCTCTCTCTTCCTCTCCCTCTCTAAAAATCAATGCAAAAAATGTCCTCGGGTGAGGATTAACTCACACACAAAAAGAGGCGGCATTCAAACAACTGATTCTCTGTACATATCTTTGGGGGCGGGGGGCAGAGTACTACCTAAGTGTTTTATAATAGAGAAAGTCAAGCTGTCATGAGGAAAATAGATAAGACAAAAAGCCACAGGACTATTCTTCTAAATATCAAAAGGAAAGAAGTAGAAGTGATGTTCTCTCTAGGCTGCAGCTGAAACCTTGCTACAAAGGTAACAGTGATGATGGGAGCAGCCTCATCTAAACTACAATCATAGTAAAACCATGTCCCAAATCACTACTACATGTCAATATTGAAGTTCTATTTCCGACATAATAAAAACAATTTTTGCCAAGTCCTGCCTCTGTATCAGAAGCTCTAATAATGTTCCCAATCATAATTTGGAGCTACATGAATTCTTTTGGGACTCTTTAGGAAGTTCAAATTTAATTACAACTGGACTAGTAAGTAATGAATAGCATGTGGTCTTCCCCAGTACACCTGGAGCCAAAAATCACCATTCTCTCCTGTAAAGAGATCAGGGGCTTACAAGGCCGCACCATGCACACATAACGAGGAGATCCTTATCTCATCCCACACTACAGCTGCTGTCCATGTGGCCCTCAGGTGAAGGAACTACATTTGCTGAACAGAGATGAGCCCACTCCAGGTATTTCTGCCAGTCCAGGTCTTCCCACAACACCTATGGGGCAGTCGTTACCATAGTTACCATGGAGCTTCTAGAGTAGTAGCTATTAACCAGGGCTACAGATGAGAATTTTCTGTGAAGCTTCACAAATGCCTGGGCCTCTCTATAGAGATTTCAATTTAGTGGGTCTGGAAGGGCTTGGGCCCCTCTCACCCCTACCCCTGAAGATTCTTGGATGACTGTATACTAGCTGAGAACCAATGATCTGGAGAAACACTACTCAATAAATTTTCTGTGATGTGTGACTATTAAGTACTTAAAATATAGCTAGTGCGACTGAGGAACTAAATTATTTATTTTTAATTAAATTCAAATAATCACATGTAGCTAGTGGCTATTATACTGGACCACACAGTATATGCTCAAAAGTCATTTTCTTCTCTCCCTGCTTAACAGCTCCATACTTCCTACCTATTATCCTATTACAACATCCTGTACAGTATCACATAGAAAGAGCAAAGAGTGTAATTAATCCACAGACAAGGGTTCAGATCCTAACTCTATCACTGCCTGACCTTTAACACAGCAGTTTTTCATCTAAAATGCACACAATACACTTCACTCAATGTCTGGTATTTAAATGTCCAATAAACAGTAGCTATTATCCTGGCCGGGTAGCTCAGTTGGTTGGAGAATTGTCCCGTACATCAAAAAGGCTGCAAGTTCAATTCCCTATCAGGGCACATACCTAGGTTGAGGGTTTGATCCCTGGTAGGCGTGCATACCAGAGGTAACAGATCGATGTTTCTCTCTCACATCAATGTTTCTCTCTCAAAAAAAAAAAAAAAAAAAATCCTTGGGAAAGGATTAAAAATTATGATGATGATAAACAGTGCGCTTCTGTGTGACTCCTCCACAGCGTGCCCCAGTTCTACACATTTTTTTCAGTCTCACACCAAAGTCCCCCATATAATGGAGCAGGCCTAGCTCTATACAATGGTACCCTTCTGCCCTGCCCTGTCCACAATGGCTTCCACTAGCAGAAACCCAACCCTTCAACATGAAGCTACTTCCTACTTCTTCAGTACATTCTGATCTCTCACATTTCTAAATGTCCTATTGTAAATTCAGTCAGAATAAGGTTTATCACTTAGTTGACCAGCTAACTGACTGACTCTCTCAAGACTAAGTTGTAGAAAGCCAGAGATCAGGCCTTTTATTTTCAAAGACCCCACGTGCAGAGCAAGGGCTCAGTAACTTCAACATGCCAGGCTGCCCCACTGCAAGAAGTGGGTAGGGGATACTAATAGAGAGAAAACCCAGATCAAACCATCTACCCATAGGGGCCAGGGGCACACTCTAAACCTGGTTAAGACTTTTAAGGGTAGAAAAAAAGCAATGGAAAGAATATCCTCAGGTGAGGATTAAAAAAAAAAAGTGAGTCGCACTGAAATAGGTGAGGGCAGAATAAACAGCCAAGGGAGAACAAGCACACTTTTGAGACGAATCTTATGTGCCATCCTATACCAGAGAGGTCTTCCAACTATACAGGCATACCCCAGTACTCTGCTTAAAAACAAAAGGCAAGTTACCTTTTCATCTCTCACAGTAGGGGAGCTGTACCCCCCCATGGAGGACAGCTACTTACACAGGAGCTATTTACTAAAGGGTTTAAGGATTCTTTCCTCAATTTTAGGAAATCTTTGCAGACTAAAAGTAAACACAAGTCAAAGAAATTCTTAGTCTAAAAATAAAATTAAGACATTTCCCTTTCCTGGACATCAGATTTCTGATCCCCTCCCTTCACCCAAGTGTTATACAGAGCATGCAGCTTAGCGCCCTGGCCAGTAGCTCAGTTGGTTAGTGGGTCATCCTGACATGCCAAGGTTGCAGGTTCGATACTCTGTCAGGGCACATTCAAAAATCAACCAATGGATGCATAAATAAGTGGAACAATGAATTGATGTTTTTCTCTCTCAAATCAATAAAATAAAGTAAGAATATGCAGAGCTTAGCAAACTAAAATATATTCAGCTCCAACCATCAGATTACTCTGTTCTCATGTCAAAGTTAAATATCTGCTCCTATCAGAAGGGAAGGTGGGCAGGGACCTAACTCACATTTCTGACATTTAAAACTATTGTGAAAATTTGTAATTTGCAGTTATAGATGAAATGCCATCTTCCAAAACCTTAAAACAGAGACAGGCCTTAAATCTTCACTAATCAGTTTATTCTAAAGTAGCAATTTCAGACCAGAAAAATCCCTGCTACATGCAAGATAGAAAAGCCAGCCAGTATCAGCAGTCTGCAGGCACCAAGGAAAAGGCAATGAATGGGAAAAACCAAACTCTGGCTGCAAAGAGCAAGAGATTGCTCTCTGGGAAAGAGAGAGGAAATCCTTTCAATGGGAAACCACAGGAATAGATTACTGTGATT